TCACTCCAGAGCCCAACAACATAATCCAACACCATACGTACTAGGTGTGGGTTTGCAATCATATGTGTACGTGTGTTCTTACAACTTAGGAGGAAAGGACGGGATGGCCTGGAAACACAGACCCCGAAAGGGAGTCTAGCGCAGGTCCCAGTGGAAGGAGAGGAATGTGTCTCAGAGCCGCCCCTGGTCAGAGGGCCTCCAGCGGGGAGCAGCGAGGTCTGTGCCTGCAGCTGATGAGGGTCCCCCGCACGGCCGGTCAGTCCATCTGGGAGACCCCACAGTAGTACGGATGTACCAAGGGGTCAGCTGAGCTAAAGGTTCATTCGAACCTTCTCGCTCACTGTCTACATCTTGTCTGAAGAGGGCTTGCAGGCATTTTGGGTGGACTGGTGCATCACCCAGTGTGGCCTGAGAGGCTGGAGGCCAGCCTGTGGTCCTGGACGCACTCAGCTCAGATCCCGTCCCACCAAGGACGTTCCACATTCCCAGGTGACCCCGGGGTCTGCCCCTGGCATTGCCCAGAGTAACCACTGCCCTCAGTCCCCTGTCCATCAGCACACGCTGACCTTCCAGGGTGGCTGTGAGGATTATGTAACAGTGAGCGTAAAGGATCTAGAACAGAAGCGTCTCTTGTCACAGAGCTATTTCGGCTGTCTCACCCCGGCACAGCATCCCAGCCACTGCATCATCTCCGTGTTTACTCTTCCTGCCCAGAAGAATTTTTGAACGAGGAACTTGCCACCATCAGAAAATGACATGGGCTCCTGCCTTAATGAAAACCCAGCCTCCTCACTTCTCTCCACATCTAAATGTTTCTCCATCCTCACCGAGCCACCCCTCTTGCCCACGTGTCAGAAAAATACTGCTGACAGGGACCCTGCTCCACCAGGCATGGGGCTGAGGGTTCCACTTGCATCTTCTTGTTGAATCTTCACAACGACCCCGTGAACCACGTCCTGGTGGTGCCCCATTTCATAGGTGGAGTAAACGAGGCTGAGAGAAGTTGACCAAGGCCACCTAGGCCACACTCGAGTCACACCAGAGCAGGCTTTATACTGCTGCCTCCAGAGACCAAGCGTTTAAGACTAGGCTGTTTCTCGCCTTCAGCACCATTGACACCGGTCCCTGATGCCTGCTGTGGGGACCGTCCTGTGCACTGTAGGATGGTCAGCGGCACCCCTGGCTTCTACCCATTAGGCATGAGTAATACCTCCTCCCACCTAGTCCTAACAGTCAGAAAACGTCTCCCCTCGGGGGTGGATAGGGGCAGAATCACCCCAGCTGAGAAGCACTGCCCTGGGCTAATTGCTTCTCGTCCACCAGAGGTGGCTCTAGGTCATTCGAAGATCAGCCCCTGTGCGTGGGCCCCTGACTTAGCTTCTCCAGAGACTTCCGGCCTGGGCCATCCCCTCCCCGTCCTCAGTTCTCCTCTTCCAGGGCAGGAGCAAAGGGGCTGGAAGACCAGGAGAGGACCCCCTCCTTCTCAGCCCCTTACCAATCCATCTCAGTGAGGAGAAGGCGAGGCTGCTCACACCACCTTCAGGATGGCCTCTGGATTACCTTCCATGGGTCCAGCTATGTCTGTGTGCTTTAGGGATGAGGGGTTTGACTTCACCGGGTCCCCAGATGGAACTGTCCGTGCTCACCGATTGCAGCCAGGCCAGCCTGAGCAACCGGTGCTGCCTTCTTGAATTCATTTCTGACTCGGAGATTCGGGTAATAAACCCATGCATCACCAGCCACTCTGGGAAGTCTGGCAGGCCACAGAATGGGAATAGGAAAACCTCTTTTCACTTCCTGCCCCACCACTCCTGCCTCCTGCTTCCCCTCCCCTCTGTCCTTGCAGATGTGGCCACAGAGCTGCATTCCTCTGGGGGATTGTGAGGTGGAATTACTTCGGTGCTGGTAAAGCACAGGCTAATGGAAGGTCCAGTGAGTGTCAGGGCTTCCATCCCTGTGTCTGCCTGTGCACACACTTCCCTGGAGGGTCTCCAGGTGGTTTCCTCAGGCCCCAGCCTTGGTGTCCCATATACATTCCTTCCCGAAAGGCGTTTTTGGGTGGGGGGTCTCAGTGTCAAAAGAACCACACTCCACACCCACCCCCATGCCACCCCTAGCATTTCTGGTTTTTGAAGCCCCTAAGATATTAAAAAGGAAGAAATACCAAAGCAAGCTTACAGAAATTCTGGTATATTTTAAGTTTTTACATTTAATTCATTAATGCTTTTGACATAAGAACACAAAGCTGGGGTATTGTGATTGTAAGATAATTGCAGGGTTTATTTTTAAAAGGCTAATTCATGGTTCACTGCAAGCTATGTGGTCAGGTAATGGGACAGAGGGACGAGCCTCATCTTCCTTCCATGTGGATGACTGTGTGTTCAGCCTCGTTTCCAGACAGATCGGAAGTCTCCCATTGAGGCCTATTGTCCAGTGGGCCCTGGCAAATGGCCCGCAGGTAGCCCTGCCATCAAACCTGGGTCCTTCTCTCCCCTCCCCACAGGCTAAGGAATTCTCTGGGCCCAGGACCAGCGTCTGCTTTCTACATCACACGCCAAATTTGTGGGACCCCAGAACCCACCACCCAAATGACCCAAGCCTGGTTTCAGGACCTGTGTGGATCTCTGTCTCCGGGTCTGTTCCAGAGGTTGGACTGTGTCCCTAGTACACACACCTAGACCCTAAGGGGACCATTTATCAAGCTGGGAGACGCAGGCTGGGAGTTCACGGTGGGAGACAGAGGCAGGGGTGAGAAGAAAAGGGAGGCATCCCAGGCTGGAAACCAGCGCCTGTGCGTCCCCTGGTCTGGTATGGAGTCTGCGGAGTGTGGGCCTCCGTTCACACTCTTGCCCCTGTTCCCATCAGTGTGAGGGGAGGGGCCTGCTCTTTGGTCTGCCTCCTCCCTAGTGTGTGACCTTGGTTTCCCTTCTCACGGGCTGGTGCTGGGAACTGGCCCAGAGGAAGGATCTCTTGCTAGCTCTCTCCTGCTGAGGAGGAGCTCATCTATACTTATAGTATTTACAACCTGGAAGAGGGTCTCAGAGACAGACATCTCCCATGATTGAACTTAAGTAAAACGGCCCAGAACCAGCCGTGACTCCAGCAGCAGCAACAGAGCTATTGGAGAGGAGGCTGTAGGGGCCACTTTCTAGTCCATGACTTAGGATAAGCTCTCTGAACCTTGACCTTCATCATCAGTAAAATGGGGATAATAAGAATACCTACCTAATCAGATTCTTATGAAGGTGAAATTAACATGGGTAAAGCTCCCAGAAGAGAGCCTGGCACATAGAAAGTGCTCAAGAAACATTAGTCGTCATTGGCCATATTGTCATGGCTCTCACGTGGCCTCTGTGTGTATAGGCTCTGTCAGCTTACCTTGGAAGAAGGCAAATGATATGTGTAGGTTGGTGATGTTCACAAAGCCAGAGGAATACATTTCACCGTGTTTTCTTATATAAAATTTGGAGTAAATATAGGTCTAGAACTAGATGGAAGAGAGTAAAGAACCTCTGTGTACCCATTCTCAGGCTTCAAGAATTCTCACTCCACTCCCCAGGGAGTACTTTCTGATCTAGGTCTTCTCCTGACACCAGCAATTTGAAAAGGGACAGAAGAATCCACAGGCAGGACCCAGCACTAGGGGACCATGGCTTCCACCGGGCTAGTGGCCCCATCCAGGTGTGAGGGACAGGAAAAGACCCCAGATCAGGAGAGGCTGTGGTCAGCATCCAGGGGGTCTGGTGGGGGCAGCAGAAGGGCCCAGTCTGTGGGAGAGGAGGAGCAATCCAAGTAACAGGAGGACTTGGAAGGTGTCGGCAGAAATGGAGGTCAGGAGAAGACGTGGGGCCAGGAGGTGGCTGCCAGGAGCTGGGGAAGGTGTAGAACTAGGGCCAGATGAACACCGTGTCAGCTTACAGGACACGAGGTCCCAGAGCAGGGGTTGGCCAGCTGAGGAACCTTTATTTCATTCTTGAGCCAAGGAAAAGTGGCCAGTGAGTGGCCTGGTAGAGAGGTCAGCTGGACAGTAGGGGTGTTGTGGAAGAGGAGGGGTATAGCACCTAACAGGATCCTCTCTGTGGCTGCCCTCAGGGCATCTGACTCCCAAATCTTCCTTGCCCCACGATGAAGGCAAAGGACAGGTGTCCTTCCCGTTTCACAGCCTGGGAGACACCTCTTGGAAGTGCTCTTTTGACAACTATCATGCCAGCACTCTCGCACCCTGATTTAAGAGCTGGGAAGTGGTGCTGGCTTCTTGAGCAGTTGATGGCTCTCTGATCTGCGGCACTCGGAGGAAACGTTCCTTGTTCCCTGTGATGAACCTCACAGAATACCCTTTCTTTTTGCTGTCAGAAAGCTGCTTGTCCATCTGGTTTATCACCTTCTCTCTCTGCAGGAGCTCCAGGGCCAAATGATCTGTCCTCCAGGAGTGCTGGTGCCCATGCTCCCTCTTGGAATGACTTGACTTCTCATGACCTTCTTCCTCTCCTCCCGCTCCTCTTCCACGCCCTCCCTTGGAACCCTTCCTCATTCCCTTTGTCCCTCCATCTGTCTCTTGCTGTAACTCCTGTGTTCTCAGGATTCCTTTTCAAAGAAGGGACATTATAAAGATAGCTAGGGCGTGACCTAGCTGGTAGCCACTTGAGATATCAAGTATAAGGAACAGACACCAATCCAAATGGAGAAACCAAAGACCATGCAGGTTGGCCTGGGTGTCATTCAGTCTCCCCTCTAAAGCCTAGAATTGTTCCTTGCCTTCCTGAGGTGGCCTGCATGTCCTTAGCCCATCCCCTTCATAGGGTGTGGGGACAAAGACTTCAGAGGCAGGTGACCCTGACTCTTGAGCATTTTCCAAGGTGACCTGTTGACAGTCGATTCCTGCTAGGACCCCCCAGTGCTTCGTACCAAGCTGTGCTAGTTGTCAGTGTGAGCAGAAGAGTATCCCACATGGTGGCTTCCAAGCATCCTGAGGTGACCCTTCCTGGCGTCTTCCCCTCCAGATCTGGGCCTTCACGTACACTCAGCAGATTGTCCAAGAGGAACTGTGCCTGTCAGTCATCACCGGGTTCCCGGGCGCCCCTGTGGTTCTTGCCCTTTGCAAGAATGGAGATGAGAAACAGGTAAGTGCTCAGCGCATCCACCCTGGGACATGGCCACCTTCAATACCATGGCTGCCTGAGTAGGTCTAAGTCTCATGGGCAGAAAAAGAGAAAAGCTATAGAAGAGATGGTGATGGTAAGAAAGAGGTCCTTCTGGTTAGCAGAGGGAGGGAAGGGCTCCTCTGATACATCCGTGGTGCCCACAGCAGTGTTCAGCTGCCACGTGAAAGCCTGCTGACCTCATCGGACCTCACCTTGCATGTGTATCTGTGCTCCGACACCCACCCAGGATCCCAGAGCAGGAGAGTCCTGGGACCAGCCTTCAGGGCCACAGGGATGAGCAAGAGTCAACCTTTGCCTTTGAGGGGAGCCGTGGGCTCTGGTGGGACATCCACCAAAATTCATAGCACTCTAGACACACTACATGCCAAGTTCCTCTAGCAGCAAGGTGTTGGCTCCACTCAATTTCCTACCAACTGGATTCTGGTGTTAGACTGAGATTCAAATGCCCATGGTATGGCTCACTGGCTGTGTGACCTTTGGCAGGTTACTGGACCTCTCTGGGCTTCAGTTTTCTCCTCTGTGTTAGGTTGATGATGCCCATCATACAGGGTAACTGTTAGAGCAATTAGCTGAGATGGCCCATGGTACCTGGTCAGTGGTGATTCCAGTGTGTGTCCACCCCCTCCCTCCTTGTCATGGGAAGTGAAGTCCACTGTCAGCAGCATGAGACCCCCTCTCTGCTTAGGCCCTGGTGTGCTGGAACACTTGGGACGAGCAGCGGTTCAGGCATCGGGTGCCACCCAGGAGCCCCCCGCCCTTGGCATCGCTGTCCCCCAGCTTTCTCCCACTTCTTCCTGACAGTGCAGACACCATGTGTGGATCATTTCTTTAGCTGCTCCTGTGACTAACTCACTTCACATTTTCTGGCCTATTGCTTGGAAAGTTATTGCCGTCTAATGGGTTTTCCTAGCAAACACTGATTTTGCTTTTACTTTTTTATCCAATGGAAAAAAAACAAACAAACCAAGAACAATACCTGGCAAAGCAATTAGTTGCAATTTTCTTCCTCCATGAGACCATGAAGTCAAGTCTCTGGATGCCCCTAGCCATATGGTGTAAATGTTTCTGATTATGCTGGAGCGCCCAATATTATTGATAGGACCTGGGGCCTTGGCCAGAGAATTCTGGCTCATCCTCTCTCCTCTCCATCTTCCCAGCAATGGACCAAGACTGGTTCCCGCATTGAGCACGTGGCATTCCACCTCTGCCTCGACACAGACATGTTTGGTGATGGCACTGAAAACGGCAGGGAAATCGTTGTCAACCCGTGTGAGTCCTCACTTATGAGCCAGCACTGGGACATGATGAGCTCTTGAAGACCCAGGAACCAGTGGGGGCTGTGGGGTGGCACGTCCCTGGAGAAGCAGCAGGCTGGAAATCAGGCTGCATGCAGCCCATTGTCACCACAGACACCCTGAACTGGGAGGCAGAGGCTGTCTCAGGGAGGATGTAGGAAGAGCTTGCAAGCCAAGTGGAACTCAGAGACAGATCCCGCGTGTTCTCAATGCTGTTAAGTTCCAGTCCTGGCCCAGTCTGTCCCCGACTGGTACCTGGAGACAGCAATCTGAGGGGAAGTGTCAATGTTGTTCCCTTCCTTACAAAAGAAGCTAGAGAGGAAAGTCTACCTTGTCACTAGGCCAGGACTCAGCTGAGAGGTGAAGAATGAAGGTCGTTTCCAAAGCAAATAAAGGAACCTTAGAAGCTTTCTCTGTGTATCTCTTACTTTGTTTCTACTTCTGTCAGCTCAGAGCTCGGCTCAGTTCTCTTTCAATAGGGGCATCGAGGTGGTGGGGTCCTTTGGCAGGTGGACAAGGAAGAGGACAGGGAGATGGGAAACCTATGTCCTGACCCTGAGCTGCCATCGACAGGCTGTGTGACCTTAAAAGAACATTTAACTTTTGTGATCTTTCATTTCCTGTGATGTCAAGTAGGGGAGTCAGGGCACAGCAGTGGTTTTACCCAGGGATACGCAGCCCATCTCATCCAGGAGCCCCTAGCTCCCCCTGTGGAGACCCCCGTGCAGTAGGTCCACAGTAGGACCCAGGCTCCTCCCTGGTTACAGTTGCCATCCTTTTTCTCTCTGTGGGCCTGTATAGCTTTATAGTCTGCAGTCATTGATGTGCAAGTTTCTTCTCTAACAGATCCCCAGTGTGTTCTGAGAGTGGGGTACTGTGGTTGTCCATTCATAATCACTAGAGTTTAAGAAAAGAACTAACCCATGTTGTTTAAAAGTTCCCAAAATATTCTCAGCCAAGGTAAGTTCACCACATGCTGATAAGTAATGGTCTTAGCTGTGTGCCGCTGAGTAACAAATAACCCCAAAATTTGGCAGCTTAAAGCAGCACACCTTTGCTATCTCCTGGTTTCTATGAGGCACGGCCTCACTGGGTGCCCGGCTTCAGGGTGACTTTAAAGTCTGCAATCAAGATTGCAGTGGTTGTTGGTAGGACTTGGTTCTTCACAGGCTGTTGGCCAGAAGCTTCCCTCCGTTCCTTGCCATATAGGCCTCTCCAACCCCGCAACCCCTTTCATCAAAGCAAGCCAGCCGGGAAGGCACACGTGCCAGCAAAACGGAAGTCACAGTTCTTTCCAGCCTCTATCCGTCCCTGAATATGGGAAAGGCAGTGGAATTCAAAAACATAGCAAGAGCATCCGCGGCAGCCTGACCAGCACTCCAGAAAGGGGTAGTGATGAGGACCTTGAGCCACTGCTACAAGACAGTGGCATCTGGGAGCTCTCTTCCTTCAAGAAGCCTGGGAATCAGTGCACTGAGTTACCTCCCATCACTTTGGGCACATTCTGTTTGAGAGAAGCAAGTCCCTGGGCACAGCCACACTCAAGGGGAGAGAACGACATGAGAGAGCTGAAGCCAGAAGTGGGGGTCACTGGGAGCCATTTTAGAATCCATCTCCGATCTTCTACCTGAAACAGGTGTCTGTCTCCCCTGCACCCAGAAAGACTTCAGGAATGGGGCATGTTCAAGCTCATTGTTACACAGTCCATGGCCATGGACTCCTGCAGACGCGGGAAGAGAAGGCTGCATGCGCGTTCCCAGCATCTCCCCAGCAGTGGTCTCTGTGCAGTCCTCCTCTTGCCTTATTTACTTACAACCTGCCTCTTTTGTTGGGCTGTTTCCTCCCCACTGTGAAAAGGAAAGGAAGCGTGTAATGTATAAAGACATCTGTGGAAGATGTTCTGTTGGCTCCTGAAGGCTGTGTGTCCACGGGATTTAAACCAGTCTTGCAGAGACGAACAGATGGTTTCACCAGCGCCCTCTCCCCTAACTAGGGGAATCAGACACTGCACTGACATAACTAAAGGAGCAGGGATTGTCCTCCTCTGTCTGTCTCCCTCTGTTTCTGTGCCTGTCGGGCAGTTCCCTGGGGGCAAGATAAAGTGATGTTACTTATTTACTGCCCCTTTAAATCACAGGGTGCAGGTGGCCATAGATCTCTCTTGAACACCCAAGGAAGTGGGGTAACAGGAATGGAGGCCTCAGCCCCAGAGGGACAAACGTTATTTTTAATCTCAGCTGCTTTGATGTGGCAGAAAAGCTAACGCTCAGTGATCTTGCTGACCTGCCGCTTCCTAGTGGAAGCCCTTGGGACTACAACGAAGACTCTCTGTGAAGGACGTGGGGGTAATCTGCTCATGGAGATACCGAAGGTTCACATGCGAGCTGCAGGGTGTGCATCTTAAGGCCTCCTTAGTGGAAAACAGAAGTTAATGCAAATAGGGATCACATAACTGCGTAGGGTTCTCCAGGCACCCTCTCACCATTAAACTGATGGTGATGAAGCCAAGGCAAGAGCAATTTGTGATTTAAAAGCAAGAATAGCAGCAGTTCCACAGCTCCACCAATTCAAGACAAAGCTGATGATCCCTGGGCGAAGAGCAACCTGCTCCAGCTTGAGATGCCTGCATCCTGCAGTCGTGCCTCTGAGCAGCAGTGGCCAAGCGTTGCCTAGAGGTCATGTCTTTTGGCGAATGCTGCATTAGAGTCCTTGGTCAACTGTGATCATTGAGTTTGAATACCAGATTTCAGGAACCTGAAACATCCACTTCGGAGGCCACTGGTAGTTGTGGGTGAGAGTGAAAGCTTGTCAATAATGTCAGCGTATGAAAATAAAAAAAGGACCTACACTTTTCATATTTTATGGGCTTGTGAGATTGAGACCCCAAACCGAGCTTGGAGAGTCCCCACTCCAGGGTAGCCTCATCACACTGCCAGGGGAGTAGGTGGCCAGGTGTGGCCGCAACCCATCAGCAGGGATCACATCTGGCTAGGTGTGAACAGTATACGTTTCTCAGTGTCTAATTGATGTGATGTGCAAATTAAATGAAGGGAATTTATACATGCATTATATACACTCATGAACTGGAAAAAAAGAGAGGGCTTCAGGCACTCTCCAGCGGCTGGATAGAGTCGGAGGGATAACGGTGTTGAGTGGATGGGCCAAGCTGGCTGCCATATTGGATCTGAGACTCACTCTCTTGGCTGTTTCTTTTCTTATGTGCTGTGTGATTTCTCTGTGTGAGCTCATATTCAGCGGGAGTTATTTCCTCCAGGTTGTGGAGGCATGCCTTGGGAAAGGTTGAAGTTTGCCTCCATTGGGTTCCATTGTGTTCAAACCAGTTTGTACACTGACTTTTCCAATTGTAGTCTGCACACTGTGAAAATGCTATGAATCCAGACCCTACAGCCATGGTGGCACAAGCTTGGATTTTGATCCTTCACAGATTATCCTTTCTCTACCCAAATTGTTGTCCCGCTTCCCTTGTGGTCACCACTTACCCAGCTGGTAGGTGGGGTTTGTTGAGCCTTTCTAAGCACCCAACTAAATGTAGGGTCTCCTATCTGGCCCTAGCCACTCACGATGCGGTGGTCTCCATGTCTGCTGCCACTTGGGTGTTGAAACCACAGCCCTGATTGTACACATCTGGCTTCAGTTCCCCTCCAATGCTCATTCACCATGCTGGCTTTGAATTCCTATTCATTTCTGGAATCTGGAATTTTTCTTTCCTTCCTTTCAAATGCAGCTGTGATTTCAAATCATTTTATTATATTTTACCCCATACTGATGTGTGTTTATGGGAGGGGTCTTCCCGGGTCAGCTCAGACCAGAATTCCTTAGTGCTGTAATTAGCTGTCACCACTGTCTTTCCCACTGGCTCTGGGACCATATCAGTGAGTGAGAGAACAATCCTGTGATTCTTTAGTACCGCTTCCTAATTATCTCCCAGCTCTAGCTATCAGACATTAGAGTCTGAAAAAGACAGCAAAGGCAGAAATGGAGAACGGGGAAGACAAATTGATAACAATGACATCCTGTTATAATACACACAGATTTAGGGATCATGAATATTTTACTTCATAATGACAGAGTTTAATACTGAAAGTGCTCACTGGAATGAACTATCAGTCATGGACGTCTTTAATACTGCAATCGAGCCTGGCAAGAGAGATTGTTCTCAGAAACGCCGAGGGATGGTGATGGGAGGTTAGAGGGGAGCACTTGCATCTCCTCTGCAAGTATCTCAGGCAGATTCCCTGGCACCTGGCAACCAGAGTCCTGGCCGGCCTTCAGGGAGAAGCTCACCTTTTACCTGTGTTTACCTGTGGCAGAGTTAAGCCTCCTTCCTTGCCCTATTCCACACATTTGCTCCTGGGGAGACAGCACCCTGACCTATCTGTTCCTTTGGCACCTGACAAGACCTGGAGCAGCATCTGGCACGCAGAGGGATTGCGTGAGAACTCTAGCAGCTGTGCTCTCATGGTGGCCTTGTCGCACACGATGGGTGGGATCCTCTTCTCCCCAGCAGGCAGAGCCAACCTCTCAAGCTCCCCGGTGGTCTAAGGTCTCAGGCAGCCCAACTTGGATTAGCAAAATCCAAAGCTCCAAGCGCTTTCCCATTTGCCATGGAACCGGCTAATTTAATGAAGCCGTCACAGTGCAAACCTCAGGGCTTATTGGAAAAGGACTAGAGCACGACATTATTTCACAGCAGTAGATTGCATCATTTTCATTTCACAGCTTTCCAATGGGAAATAATAAAACAAAATTACAAACATAATGAAGAAAGAGAGGAGGGGAAAAAAAAAAGCCTTGGGTGAGAGATGCATCCTCTGTGCTGTGACAGGGCTGGTTACCTTCTTCAGTGGAGCCAGTAAATATTCCCTGGCTTCGCTCACAGGACTGAGAGCAGCCCAGGATGCTTCACCTGCTGCTGAAGATAACAGGCTGCAATAACTCACTGCCCAGCACAACAGGGAGCCCTGAGCACCCGGCAGGAGGCTCGCCAGAAGTCTGTCTGAGAAGTTCCAGCCTCCGAAGCACAGCCCTCCCTGGGCCGGCCACAGCGCTGGGGCTAAGGGCTGCCCTTGGTGATGGCCTGGCAAGCTGTTGGGGCGTCAGGGTGCTCTGCATCTCCCTTCCCTCCAGAAGGCAAAGTGGCTTCACCAGTGGGGCTTCATTTATCCCTAGGATGGAGGAGAGAAGAGGTCCCTTCCCCCAAAGGAGCTGACAGCCAGGGACTAAATAGGAGTCACAGAGAGACACAGCTCTTTCCAAAGCTGCTCTCATTTATAGATAGCGCTGAGGTGTAGGATCGGGGAGGTAACCAGCTCAGCAGGACATTTTTTTCCATTCTGCCGTCTGTCCTGAGCTTGAGGAGATGCCCCAGGTCTGTCTGCACAGC